GTTTGCACCGTAATATATATATATATGTATGTAAGTCCGCGCAGTGCGAAGTGATGCTCCGCATAGTGCGGAGCATTCACTCCTCAAAGTGTGGAGTAGTAACTCCGGAATTTTTTTTTTTTTATTTGTTTTTTTTGCTGTAATGAAAAAAAATTTATTCTTAAATCTAATTCATATCTTTTTCACAGACAAGCTCATTGCCATAGAAAATAACTTAATAGATTTATCATTTACCGACCAATCATTATCATACGAAACTTAGTTGCAATCAGTAATGTCGAAAAATAGCAATTGTCACATCCATCGGAACATGTATTCAAAACATTTATTATAGCAGTATGTTAAGTTATGGAATTGTTTCAATTGTAACATCCATCAGAACATGCATTCAGAACATCCACGACAACAGTATGTCAGGTTATGGAATTGTTGAGGCTCAAAGCAATTAATAAAAATTGAAGAAGGTTATTAGTCCATATAACTCTGTTTATAACTGAAAATAAGATTTTTATGAAATATATTAACATATTTAACCTATTTGCATATTTGAAAAACTAATAGAAATACATTAAACTGGCAAACAAGTTCCATGGTTTAAACGAAATTTCTTTTCAATGTCTTCTGGGAATATAGAATACACATACCTCAAGACGTCTATTCGAAAACTTCCACACAAGTTCAAATCAAGGAAATATAACTTATATCGCATTTTTGTACCAGCTCTTACCACCCCCATAAGGCATATGGTCGATTTAAATTGAAATAGTTGTTGTAAGTTGAAGCAGAGAAGGTGTGGGAGAAGTTGCAAACTATAATGTATCTCTCAATTTTATACAAACGATTACAACCCGAAATTTTTTATTTTATTTTTTTGTTACAATTTCAATTGCTTTTCTGAACTCAACAAAGGAATTGTGTATAAAAAAATCCTCGCAGTCGGTGGGTATTTGATGTTCTGGGCAAAACGTGTAAAAGGAATTGATGTTTGTTTTTTTGTCTCCTTCATGAGCAAAGTAGGAATGTAAAGTCAACAATTATGAGTATAGGTACAGTAGATGGTGGCGTGCCCAAGAAGAAATCAGATATTTAGAGGCTATAGGGTAGGAAAAAATGGTAGAAATGGGATAAACAAAAAGTTTCACAAATGAACAATAAACAGTGGGTTGAAAAAAATGGTAGAAATGAGGTAAACAAAAAGCTTCACAAATGAACAGTAAATTATAGATTCCCTCTTTAAGATAGTAGGAATATAAATATATTAAGTTGCATTAAATTATAAGAACATTCATAAGATCATACAAAACATAATGATATATTTATCTCATATCGAACTTTATTATGATTGTTATTACATCCTATAAATCTTATTCTTTCTCCAGAATGTAAATAAAATCACATATCAATTCAACCAGTCACCAATTAATTGAAAATCATTCAAAACTTAACAATTATTCAAACCAAACAAACATTTGATGAAAAAAATCTGGAATTTAATATCAAAGTTTCATAGACAATTAGTTAAGCACCATATGATTACAAAAATACGAATTAAATTGATACAACATCATCCGAAATTGAATTGTGGAAGTTATTAAAAGTAATCTTGAATTCTCGAATCCCTCAAATTGTTCTCGACTAATCTTCTCGAGTCTCCTCCTTTTTCAAAATTCAAGCAAATATGTTTGAATTTATTTTTTATGTAAAAATGTGTTGTATCACGCATTCTCTAAAACTTGTAATAAAATATGTCTTTTTATTCAAAAGCTTCTTCTCCTTGAGAACGATGAATGATTGTATTTATAACTTTAATAATTAGGTCAAATCTTGTATACAAAACCCTTTCCACGTAGAAATTAAATCAAAATAGGAAACATGTTGAAGAATGGTTGACTTTGTCCATTGCAAAAAATTTTCCATCACTACTTCTCGTAGGAGTATAGGTCGTGTCTCAATTCCAGTATAGCTAATCATTCTCTCAAATCAGCTACTAATAATGGTCTTGGTAAACTATTACCTCAACTCAAAAAATAGTAGAGAGAAGTGTAATTATGACATCATAATAGGTACACCATCCTCCGAGAACATAGCATCACATAATTCTCCAGTATCAAATAATATAGAATATGTGAATTATTCTCGTGGTAATGAGGAATAATATAGAGATTTTTTATTTTTTAATCACAACACCCTTTAATAATCAATCGGTTAATAAAGAAGTTTGGTGATGAATAAATTTTAGAGAAAATTTCATATTTTTGATGAAATGTGTAGTTAAAAAGTTGTGGAACCCCTAAAATATGTGATTACAATTAATTATTGATTTTGATTTAGATTAAAATTTACATTTTAATTAGTATCAAATAGATGCTAAGTATGACATATTTCAAAACTAAGAAACAAGATTTATTATTTCAAAACTCAAACATTAACTAAACTTTATTTATGAAATAATTAATTAAATATATCAAGGTCGCAATATTATATAATTTATGGCAACAATTATTAATTAGTCATAACTACATACGTTATAATCACAAATTTTATAGTCACAACTTATATCTCGATCACGAACTTATCAAATTAATATGTCACATATTATTATTTGGTCACAAATTATTGATCACACGTACCAAATTCTGAGTCATGACTACAACTTTAGTCACGATCACACATTATTTGCTGGTCATATATTAATAATTTATTAATCACAATATCCAAATATTTGGTCATAAACACTTCCACCCCACCATCACCACCAACACCAATGCCAACGCTACGATGCCATTGCCACCTATCCCACTTGCACCACAACCATTCGCGACTACCACCTTGCCTTCGACCTAATTTTCCTTGGATCTGACACCAAATCGCGACCTAAAACTTCGCTCACGCCGTACTGCAGTGGCGAAATCGCTAGAAATCAAACTCATTATGAAATCACATTCATTCACTACTGCTGTGAAATCGACCCAAAACTTCTTGAACTATCGTTCACAAACTTGTGGATGAAGTATTTTGCACTGATGCCATGCCAAAGCTGCGTCGGAATGAGGGGAGAGAGCTTGTGAACGACGCCGACAGAGAGAGGATAAAAAGAGGCTGGGAAGGAAGAATAGAGATATATGTATAGGTACAGAGAGAGAATGAAGATACATATGTAGATTAATTAATTTTATAATATTTCATTAATATTAAAAATTAGAATTAACATTTGATTTTTAACTGGCACATACATGGCCATGCATGTGAAGCACGACTCTAAACTTTAGGGTCCCACTACAATGACATTAAATTTGATAGTTTCTTTTACACTGTGTGGGGTGACACTTTTTTAACCTTGATTTCAACAACATTTAAAATAATTTGTGGCATAGATTTTTACATCTCATACAATATCATTCTTAGCTCCTATTTGGGCTCCATTAATTCAATTTATAATGAGAGAGGTAGTATTTTTTTGGAAAAAATGTGTGTTTGAAAAAGAGGAAAAATGTTTTGATTTATGTGTAATATTATTTTATTAAAAATGTGTGAATAAAAAAAATGTATTATAAATTAATGGAGGCGAAACGCAGACTTAATGTGTACATGGAATGTACAAATAACATTTTCTTAAACTTTATTGGCGTAATCGCTTCTTCTTGCAACAGTAACTTCTCCGCAATAACACCTCACCTCACCCCAATATAGTTCCATTTCCAAACCCAACCATTCTACAGTATCCATGATATAACTTAGTTATTGCTAGTATTTTAAAAGACGTAATGTGTGGCAACGAGTGAAGGCTAAGCTATGGGTCAGACGAGTTTAGGCGAGGCATATACGTAAAATAACGTCAAAAGTCGTTTTCTTATTTTAATTTCTAATCAATCAAAAAATCATTTAATAATAAAAAATGATACATATCAAACTTCTAAAACAAATTTATAAAAACTTTATACATTTTTTTTCCAAAGTTTTCAACAAAAAGATAAGTTTCAAATGTAAATCAACCTTTAAGTTTTAATTTAAAAGAATTGTAAAAAAATAATAATAAAAAAAAGAAGAAAGGTGGGCATTATCGATCAACGATTGCCGTTGACCGCTAAATAAGGCGCCCAACCACTTGGCTTGGCGTTTTTACCATATATCGCGCATAGGCGTGCCTTTTAGAACACTGATTACCGCATTAAACATGCATGTACTAAATTTACCATGGTTTGTTAGCCTATGCGATCACATAAACCAACCTAGTTACTTCATATTAAACTCGATCCTTGAATTTCTTCTTTGGTTTAGTATGAGTCCATTAGTTCTTATTTGTACAGTGATCTTTCATCTTTCAATCTCTACAATTTGATATTCGATCATCCGTAATTGATCCATTTCAAGTTTCAAAAAAATTATAATTTAATCCTCAAACTTTTCAAATATTGGATTTAGCTCTTGAATTTTGTGAATCTCCTTCGAGCGTTATCTTAATGCTCCATATTGATTCAATGTAACCCAGTTGATCTTTGATCCGAATTAACTCTAGTTAGGCTTGAAATAGAATTTATTCGTGTCAATTGCATCCAAGTCAAGATTTATCCTACAATTAACATAATCACGTTAAATTAAGTAGATATTCGGTCAATTTATCCATAATTTGTCAAGTATAAAAGTATGGAATACGAGTGTAAAATACACTTATCAATAAGTCATCTAGCGTTTAAGCGTTATGTGTGAATGAGCTTTTGGCTTATAAGATAGTTGACCGGCTTATAAGCCAAGCCAAACATGCTCTTATTGACTTAATTTCAGTGACCAAATTGAAATTTCCCTCAAAGTTTAATTACTGCCAGTGAAATTTAACCTTTCCCATACACAATATACTCACCAGTCACCGGATCAGCACTATATATAATAATCGCATTCACGTTCTTCTTGTTCTTCCTCCTGCTCTGGCACTCTCTCTGAATCAAAATCTCAATAACTGGATAACTCTGTCGATTTGATCTGCTTGCTCCATTCCAAGGAAAATGCCGGCGGTTTATGGAGGTCCTTTGACAACCTTTGAGGATTCTGAAAAGGAGAGCGAGTATGGATACGTTCGGAAGGTTCGATCTATAGTGTTACCACTATGTTTTTCACCATCTGATTCAATTCTGTTTTGATTGCCTTCAGTTTATCTGATTTTTCTACATGTTATGTTACTAGTTATGTTCATTGAATTCATGTGATTGCTCCAGTTTACTTGAAAACGTTGAAATTGGTACTTGTTTATTGGTGCGAGTGCTCAGCGTTTGACAGTTCAAAACTTTTGGCATTGGTGTTTTGAATCGTATTTAGTGTGTCCACGGAGTTGCCTAGTCGAAGCTGAGATCTAATGGATCTGGTCTGGCTTGGTTGCGGTTGCTTGATTGCTGTTTGTTATTTTAGTTTTCTACATTGTTCTATCTCTTCAACCTTTTTTGTTGGAGAATTACAGCTTGGATCAATTAGAATTCTCTGTTTGATCAATATTTTGATTCTAGTATTGTTTGACAACATCTTTTAACTCCCGGGAATTCCATAATTTTGAGGAGATGCCTAAGGGTTTTATGAAATTTTAGGACAAGATACTAATTAGTTATGTAATCACCAACCTAAAAGGAAACAATTTCTTTCAAAAGCAGACAGGGATACATTTCTTGCCAATAAATTTACGGCATAAGGTTCCTTTGTTTTCAGCACCTGAACAGACTTTTATGTTGAAAGAGCTCTAGTATTTCTTACACCGTGTGGAATTTTCTGTTCCACAGGTATCAGGACCCGTGGTTGTTGCTGATGGAATGGCAGGAGCTGCTATGTATGAATTAGTTCGTGTTGGACATGACAACCTTATTGGAGAAATTATTAGGTTGGAAGGAGATTCTGCCACAATTCAAGGTTTTATTCTTTTTAAACCCTTTTAAAATCTGCTTTCTTTTTCGAGGGTCAGGTCTTCCCGTATAGCACTGTCGTTACCCCAGTTTCCCGGTTCTTGACCAAAGAAATCCCCTAGCGTCTTTCAAAATCAAACAAAAAATATTTAACTTTTATCTATTTTTAATGTCTATATGCTGACAAATTAATTTGAAATAACAAGAACCCAATGTTGATCTTTTTGTGCTTTAATTGCAGTTTACGAAGAAACAGCTGGGCTAATGGTGAACGATCCTGTTCTACGAACACACAAGGTTATCATGTTACATTTTTTAACTTGACAAGTTGAGATTATTCTAGGTTTATCAATATCGAACAATGCTATACACCACACTTGCCAACTTTTGCAGCCTCTGTCAGTGGAATTGGGTCCTGGAATATTGGGAAACATTTTCGATGGTATTCAGGTTTGTAGATTTCAGCTTGTCAATTTGTGTCAATTGACCATATTTAACAGTTTTTTTATGAAGTGTCTATTGTTAGCATTGCTTGTTGTCTGCCTCAATTTCTAACAGTCTAAAATTGTTACTCCTTTCCCTTTTCAATCATGGGTTATATACTCAATGCAGAGGCCTCTAAAGACAATTGCAAAACGATCTGGTGATGTCTATATTCCTCGTGGTGTATCTGTCCCAGCCCTTGACAAAGATATCCTCTGGGAATTTCAGCCCACGAAATTGGGTACTTGGAAACTGCTCGAGTTTGTTTTTTAATGTTGATTCCAATGGTTTTGGTGCATATAAGTAATGTATTGCAACTTGGTGGTACCCTCATTAATTTAATATCAATTTGTTATGGCAGGAGAGGGAGATCTTTTAACAGGTGGAGATTTATATGCGGTGAGTTTGGCAAAACTATGCAGAAAAACTTGAAGGAACTATATCGCGCCATTCATCAGCAATATAAATTTTAATCTAAATCTAAGTGTGAGTATACCAATTTTCTGTGCAGACTGTATTTGAGAACAGTTTAATGCAACACCATGTTGCGCTTCCTCCTGATGCTATGGGAAAGATAACCTACATTGCTCCAGTCGGTCAGTACTCATTAAAGGTCTGCCTTTATCCCAACATAGTACTGAAATATTGTTTGCTTAAAATCAAGTTTTCTTGAAGCAAATCATTCCACTTATATGCAGGACACTGTTCTTGAGCTTGAGTTTCAAGGTGTCAAAAAGCAATTTACTATGCTTCAGGTCAGGTTTCCTAATCATGGACAATTTCTGATTTGGTAGATGCTTAATATATGTTTCTACAATACTCCAAAAAATAAAACTACTTGAAATGCCCTGCAGACTTGGCCTGTGCGTACACCTAGACCTGTAGCCTCAAAGCTTGCTGCTGATACTCCTCTCCTGACTGGGCAGGTGACCGTTTTATATAATAAATATGTTTCCCTGTCTTATTTACTTTATAAATATATCCTATTAGAATATTTCATGGACCATATTTTTTTATTTTTCATCCAGCGTGTTCTTGATGCTCTGTTCCCCTCCGTGCTTGGTGGTACGTGTGCCATCCCTGGTGCTTTTGGTTGTGGAAAAACTGTCATTAGTCAAGCCCTATCTAAGGTGGCCTCTGTTATTTTATTCTTTCTTTCATTTGTTGGTGATCTTTTTGTGTCAAAACTTGCATATGACCTGTCATAAAACTTCTAATACTGTTTTTTCCATTGGTATGAAAATGCAGTATTCGAACTCCGACACTGTAGTTTATGTTGGTTGTGGAGAAAGAGGAAATGAAATGGCAGAGGTATATGGTTGCTCTCTTGTTAAATTAGTTCATATGACATCTTAAAAATACATAACCCAGATACCTACAGGTGCTAATGGATTTCCCTCAATTGACGATGACACTGCCGGATGGCAGGGAGGAATCTGTTATGAAGCGTACTACACTGGTGGCTAACACCTCAAATATGCCTGTGGCTGCTCGTGAGGCTTCAATTTACACAGGTAAATGGGGTTTCCTTCTGTCAAACTGTTATTACATTTACTCTCTAGGAACAGTTCTCTAGTAACCCGAGTTGCATACAGCGGGAGTGGAACCATTAGGATTGTAAAAATTAAATTATTAGAGAGCAGAAGCCCAAAGTTATTACTAATTACGGACACAGATTCTTGGATTATTTTCTCGACTGTTATAACAATTTCACATAGCAATTCTTCATCTACCTTTTGATTAATTTATACTTCAATTACACACAAGAAATCCTAACTCATCCCTTCTTCACATTATTAACCTTGCCTATTTTCTTCTCATCTTTTGAGTTCCACCATTCACAACTAGATCTGATATATTTTTACAGGTTCTGCATTTTCATTTACGTGCTTTGGATGATCCTAAACTTTATCATATCAATGCATGAGATCCTTCAGTTGCTAAGGGAACTGACTGTGTGTTTTCTACTGTTCTGCATTTTTATAGAGGATTATGGTTATCCTAGGTTTTAATCTTGTCCGTCCTTATATCCACGACACTTTTAGTTCTACAAAACAAAGCAGGTTTCTGTTTTATGTATCTGATAATTATTCTTATGTTTGTTTAAATGTGGATGTTCAGGAATCACTATAGCTGAATATTTCAGAGATATGGGCTATAATGTCAGTATGATGGCAGATTCAACATCTCGCTGGGCAGAAGCATTGCGTGAAATTTCAGGTCGATTGGTACGTATCCTCAGATTTCTGTCACCATTATTTAATTTTGAGTTATTGGATCACCATCTTAGTAAAATCGATTCTTGGTGCCTGAATTGGTCCTGGAATTATGAAGACGGGGAAGTGAAACCAGATTTTATAATTGAAATGCATGCTCAAATGAAAGGAACAACAACAACAAACTAAGCCTCATTAATAAAGGAAACAAAAGCTAACAATGTTAGGTGCTTAATAATTATCAGAGTACTTGAACTGGCTACAAATTTGCCATTTGTGTAATCATCTGTAGTTTTGATCTATTTGATAAGGTTTTGTTGGATTGAGTTGACTAAAGTAGTGACCTCTCTTGTCTCATGCACAAACATAACATTTTTCATTCTGTGTGCCACGTTTTTTTTTATAGGTAATCAGAAAATTTTATTAAT